TGGGCAGCTGCAGACATGGGCTGATTTAATAGGATCTGAAATCCCTAAAATATGCTTTCCTTACAAGCTTGCCAAAGTACCTATGATTTTTTTACTATTAACTCCAAAGTTATAATTATATTAAACCAAAACCAGCTGTTACTTCTTACTCTTAATTAGTTTATCAGATTTGCTAGCCAATTTTCCCAACAACCATATGAGGTAAGTACCTTTATTTTAAATTTCATCTTTCAAATGAGAAGAGCAAACACAGACAGGTTGAGTAACTTGTCCAAAGTCACACAGAATGTAGATAGTATAGTCAGGATTCAAACTTAGTCACCTTGGCTCCAGGGTCCATTCTCATAACCACCACAGTATCTCAAATCCATCTTCTAGGTTACTGCTGTTCTTTAGCTGAGGGCATCCACTGTTCAATCCGTTTGATGAAAAAAATTTCTGTTACACTCTCTACTGTAATTTATTTGCTATATTTTTATGGTAGTATTTGTTTCTGTAACTTTTTAAAATTGAAGTGTAGTTGATATACAATATTATATTGGTTTCGAGTATATAATATAGTGATTCAGCAGTTATCTACATTATTAAATGCTGACCCTAACTAGTGTAGTTACTATCTGTCAACAGAAAAAGATGTTACAGAATTATTGACTATATTCTCTATGCGGTATTTTCATCACTGTGACTAATTTAGATTATGATTGAGATTTTGTGCCTCTTTAACCCTTTCACCTATTTCACCCACCCACCCACTCTAACCCCTCCCCCATGGTAAGACTAGTCACCACTTCTCAGTGTCTATGAATCTAGTGCCTTTTTGTTTATTTTGTTTTTAGATTCTGTGTATAAGTGGAATCATATGGTGTTTGTCTTTCTCTGCCTGGCTTATTTCACTGAACATAATACCCTCTAAGTCCATCCCTGTTGTTGCAAATGGAAGGATTTCTTTCTTTTTATGGCTGAATAATATTCCATTGTGCATGTACCACCTCTTCTTTATCCATTCATCTATTGACAACTTTGGTTGTTTCCATATCTTGGCTATTGTAAATAATGCAACAATTAACATAGAGTTGCATATATCTTTTCAAATCAGGGATTTTGTTTTCTTTGGGTAAATTCTTAGAGGTGGAGTTACTGGGTTGTGTGGTATTTAAATTTTTTGTTTTTCGAGGAACTTCCATACTGCTTTCGATATTCCATAATAGTGGCTACACCAGCGTACATTCCCACCAAGAGTGTAGGAGGATTCTCTTTCTCCACATACTTGCCAACACTTGTTATTTTGTGTCTTGTGGGGATAACAGCCATTCTAACTGGTGTGAGGTGGTATCCTATTGTGGTTTTAATTTACAGTTCCCTAGTAATAAGTGATGTGGAGCATCTTTTCATGTGCCTATTGGTCATCTGTGTTTCTTTAGAAAAATGTCTATTCAGGTTCTCTGCCCATTTTTCAGTTGGGTTATTTGGAGTTTATTTTGGTGTTGAGTCATGTGAGATCTTTATATATATTTGGAAGTTAGCCCCTTATCAGATATATCATTTGCAAATACATTCTCCCACACTGTAGGTTGACTTTTTGTTTTGTTGATGGTGTTCTTTGCTGTAAAAAATATTTTTAGTTTGATGTAGTCCCACTTGTTTATTTTTGTTTTTGTTTCCCTTGCCCAGGGAGACATACTCTGAAAAAAATTACTCACGCTGACATTCAAGAGATTCTTGCCTATGCTTTCTTCTAAGAGTTTTATGGTTTCATGTCTTATATTTAGATCTTTGATCCATTTAGAGTTTACATTGTGTATGTTGTTAGACAGTGACCTAGTTTCATTTTCTTACATGCAGCTGTGTAGCCATTTGATGAATTTTTAATTTCTACAACTTTTAGAATTTGTTTAGTTCCTTTAAAATATGTCTACTTTTCTTTGTCATATTGTCCTATTCTTGCCCTATGGTTTCTATTCCCTCTTTTACTAGGAAACATTTTAAACATATATACTCTCTCAAATTAGCCTATTGTCTTGAGTTTCTAAGGTAGGAACTTCTCTACATGTTTTGCCTGCTGACTCTCACTAGTGGTGGCTTCTTTTTTTTCCCCTCTCTTACATGCACTATAATTTTTAAAAGTAAACTTAACATCAGCAGGAGTTTGCTGTTGTTATTTTGTGGTTTTGATTTTTAAAATTTTGTTTTTGGTGGGAGATCGATATGCACTGGGGTACTGAGACATTTTGTAAGCTGGTTTTAGGTTATTCCCTGTCAGGGTCTTATAGTTTAATCAATTCCAGTCCAATTTTTAACATCAACTTCTTGGTTTGTGGCTTGCACTACACAAGAACACCAGCCTCATACACACATACAAAGCAGATTGGGGATTTGCTTTCTCATGAGTGATCCCAATGGCCAATGGTGGTTGAGAGACTTCCATATCATATCCTTAGCAGAATTTCCCTTATTTCATGCTTGGGTTACTCATTCCTCACTGACAACCTAGGCAGGGAGTTTGTTTCCTATGCCCTCAGCTCTCATCCCCATGGGATACTGAAACTCTATCATCTAAGAACCATACATAATTCCCATATTTTCAGAGAAGCTTTTGCTTAATCACTTTTTGCTGACCATTGCTCTATCATTATGTTTATTCTTCATATCTGGCACCTGGAGATTTTTTTGTGTGTACCAATCTGGCAATGGATTTTTTTCCCATTTCTACCAGCATCTCTCTGTGATGTGGGATGATGTTCTTTAGCAGCTCGATCTATCAAATTGACCAGAAAGCTTTGATTATGCACTTAGTTATCAGTCTTTCCCACTAGACTCTGAGTTCTTGGAGGACAGAGAGCTTTGTTTGATTCATCTTTTATTCCTAATTCTTCAGACAGTGCACAAACCAGATTAAGAAGTGATAGACATTTGATCAATGAATGAGTAAATTATTTAATCAACTTTTTCTTTCATTTTATATGGGAATTAAAGGCCAAACACTAATGATCTTCTAGAGAAAGGTGACACCAAGAACCCCTGCAAAGCCATCTGTGCTCTCTGGGAGGCCATGATGGACAGAGGAGCTTGGGGCCTGCCTTGGTCTGCTTGTCTGGCCAACAGGTTCACTACTGTTGACACTACTTCTTTCTTAAAGGGCAATCACTGCCAACTACACAGCTGGTCTGAAAGAAATTTGAAGTCTGGCAGGCTAGGTTCTTGATTGATGGCTCTACTGCCTTTTAGCACATATTGATGCCCCCTTCTAGCCGTATCTGGAACCGGATCAATGACAGGTAGTGTGCAATGATAACATTTTTCCTGATGGTGCCATATGCAGCTTGCCAATTAAGTTTACATACTTGAAAGCACCTGTGCTTGGTACAGAGTAGGTACTGAGTTAATACTTAGTGCACCTGATTTCTTTTCCAGTAAAGAAAAAAAGAACACAAATACTTGTTGAACATCTACTGCCTCATAGGCATTGTGTTGGGTGTTAGAGATGGAGAGGAATAACATGCAGTCCCTGTTTTAATCCTTAATTAGAAAAAGAACATCCAGATTAAATCTGACAATAAAAATATTACCCTAAATGTTCTTTAAGTGAAAAGACATCTCACCACTTCCTGTCACCCCAAAATGCCTAAAAAGTGTAACCATCAAAATAACTTTACCTGTTACTGTTTTATAAAGTTCTCTCTCCTCAGAGGAGAAATATAAATCCCAGTGTATATATGATCAGACAAAAGAAAGCAATCATAAAAGGTAATTTGTGACAATAACTTTTAAGCCCCTTTTACCACTATAATCCCCGAATTTAGAATCGTGACTGAACTAAAGTAGAAAATCAGTAATTTTGCTGAATGTATTTGCACACATGTATATAGGGATGTGCCCATCCACACATAGGGCCCTAGATAAGATGTAACTCATCATTCCACACATATTCATTAAAGATTTCCTATGAATAAGAGTCTGTGCTAGATGTTGTGCTGGACAGCAAAAAAAAAAAAAGAACAAAATAGAAATCCTACCTACAAGGAACTTCCAGGATTAAGGATGAGATAGGCAAGTATAGAAATCACAGGCTATAACAGAAATGCTAAGAGAAGAGCACAGAAAGGGGCTATGGGAGTTCCAAAAAAGGAAAAGCCACCACCTGCTGAGGGATTAGATAAGACTGTGGCTAGTACAGGTAGTCTTTAAGGAGCAGTAATTTTTTGGGTGTAGAAGGGAGTGGGTGGGTATTGGCAAGGAAGGAGGGGCAATGCAGTAGAAAGAACAGCTTAGACAAGAGCAGAGAGGCAGAAAAGCACAGGACATGTAAGAAGACATGGGAATTTGGCTGGAGATGCATAAAGGGACATAAAGAGAAATAAAGCCAGAAAGGAAGGCTGAGCCAGATTGCAGGGGCTTTGAATGTGTCGTGATTGGCCATGCAGGACACAGGATCTCTGTAGCAGAGCCAGTGCCTAGCATATGGCCAGGCTTAATCATACTACAACAACCTCCTAGCAGGAACCTGTTCCCCACATGCACACAGGAAGCTGCCGGCTGTACACACAGGCAATTACAAACATTCCAAATACTCTGCCCTGAACCCTGCAAGCACATCAAATACTCACTGTGAAAGGTCACCCAGCAAACAGCTCTGATCAATCCTGGCTCAGGAGGAATCAAATCCCCTAAATGAGATCCACTAGATGCAGTGTCAGGAAGGTCAGAAACGACCCTATTTCACATCTTGAAGCATTTTTACCATGTGGAACATTTTAGAGGAAGAAGGAAAAGGGATAAGAAAGAGAAAAAAAAAAGCCTCCCTACAAATAAAAGAATAGCAAGTAATTAACTGTTAAATGATTACAAAGTAAGCAGAGAATTTATTTTGGCCCCCACCTCCTTCTAGTGATCTAAAAAGCAGTTGATTTCAAAGAAGGCCAAGCCAGCATTAAAAATGGAGTTTCACGCCTCCCCTCATCCGCCTCCCACCCTCTGCCTCCCCATGTGTCCCCACTGCGTACCTTTGTCGAGTTCACTTGAAATGTTCCATGATGATGAGGTAGGCACTAACTCAGCAGAGACTGACAACTCTGTTTCTGAAAATAAAAAGAAGGGAGGGGGAAAGACAAGGGCACTATTAAATACAGTAACTTACAGGCTGTTAGAAGCATTACAGGAGATTTCCAAAGGCCCTGCCTTCTGAGGGAGACCACTGCAATCCCACAGCTTATTCAACTGGAATGGCAGCTCGATTTGCCAGGCAGAGGTGCCTGCGTCATAGAGGCTCCAGATGAACAATCTGTAGGTCAGATTTGAAGATTTTTTCTTTAAAATGTGGGCTCAAAAATTGAAATACAAATATACATTAACAGAAAACCAAACCTGCAGAATGACTAAACGTCATCCAATATAACCTCTTCCTTTTCTTGTTAGAAGATATGTCTTAGACTAACATATTCAATACTCTTCCCATGAAAAATGAGGGTAAAGTTACTCCTGCTGATTCCATTTGTCACATTTGTAAATTGACAGCATGTCTATTAATAGAAAGATCCATTTCCCTCCATTGAAACTTTAAGTCAAAACAAATGAAAGCTAAATATTTGAATATGGAGTTATTATTATTAAGTTGACAAACTTAAAAGATAATTTTCAAAAGCACCATGAATTAAAGGGAACATGCAAATCAACAGTCTAAAGTGCATAATACACTGTGAAGATCTTAAAAATCTTTAATAATACACTGTAATATTTGTATGATATATTTGTTGTTGATTTTGAAAATTTAAGTGTGATATCATCCTGCCAGCACATTTTAAATAGGACTGCATTAATCTCCCCTCAGGACGTGCCTACACATTACACACATTCTCATCACAGGACTCAGTGCTGGGCAGGATCTCAGAGAGCTCAGAGCCTAAGCCACTAGATACATGACACCCAAGCAGTCAATGCCCCTTCCTTCAGTCTGGTGCAGACAAGAAGTCAATGCCCCTTCCTTCAGTCTGGTGCAGACATCTTTAATCGATTATGAGCCTTTTTGCCTCTCAAACCTGGGATCTGCCTCAGAGTCTTTTCAACACAGTGCACTAAGTCATCACTAAAAATGGATCTGAGTTGAAATGCACAGTGAACTTCAGCAAGTGGAAAAAGTGGGATTCAAACCCAGGTCTATTTCCCACATACCTCCTAGCAGTCCATGCTGCCTAGTACTCAAGTCTGTGAACCTGACTTGTTTTTCACCTTGCCTCTCTCTGACTTCACTAGTTCACCTTGATAAGCACACTTTCTACACTTCCTTATTTACTGCTGGAGCTTATCTGCCACTTGGCCGCAGAAGCCAAACACCACAGCCAGTGAGCTATACGGGCAGTATGCTTACTCACAGACACCTTGCAAAGGCCCACTTTTAGTTTGTCTATTGGGTGTCTGATTAACCTGCCACACACAGCAGAAACACAGGGTTTTTCTTCTGTGCACACTTCCTTGGCTTGCCTCTTTTCCTCTAAGAAGCAGGTGGGAAAGAAAGTAGACAAACCACACGTACTCTCCCCACCCCAAATGGCCCCCATCCAAAAATAGCAGATCCTTTTAAAGGGACCTGAAGTAAGATGGGCAGTATGTCAGGAATCTTAAAACACATAAAATTCCAAAATACGAAACCAAAAAGAAAAATGTACCCAAGTATGAAAAATGCTTAACACAAAAACACAGAAGGCAGTTATTTCTAGAGTCAACCACTTGTACTAGGAGTGGGTATTTCACGCAGCTGATTTCATCAGGAAGAGCTCCTTGTCTATATTTTGGGGGCCTCCACAAATGATTCCAACCACACCTCCACTCTGACCCCCATCCTGCTGCCACCTGCTTTGGCTCTTTGAATAATGGCCTCTTGTTAGCAGTTTTATGGACTACTGTGGTTTGCCTTCTAAAAAGGCTCAACAAGGACTCTGATACCCAGACTTTGGGGAGCTTGGGAAGAGAAGCAGGGCAGCCAGGGCAGCATTCCAGGCAAGGAAGCAAAGGGTGGGGAAGTGTGGGATTCAGACAGACCTTGACAGCATTTCCATGCAATATTTTCATAGCTTCATCTTACTGCTGCTCACAGTTATACTGCCAAAAATATAGGTTTCACTTTACAGTATTAATTTTATAGAAAGTTAACTCTATGTCACTTGGTATTTCTAACCTAAGTTTGAATTGCTGATTGAATATAATTTGGGATTGATGACAAATGAACAGATTCTTGGCAGTGCCAACAGTTCCCCAGAAATTGTTCCCCATGTGTCCCTGGACATTAATTACCACTCAGTTCTTGGGCTACAGCAAAGATAATTTCAAGTCACAGGCTCATTAAGTGATTGTGATGATTCTGAGGAATTTTGTTGTCAGCTTCAAGATCTATTCCTTTAGATAACCACATGTTCAGCTTCTCAGATAGAATGATAATAAAAACAGATAAAATATTTTAAAATATGAATAACCTCCCTGAAAAATATTATTTTTCAAGGCTACATTTTTTAAAAGAAAGACTGATTATTTTATGTGAAAAGTTTAATATAAGTAATTCCTCCTCACAAAAGAATGTTTAGTAAGCTTTTTTTCCCTGAAAGGAAGGCTGAACTTGAAATGAGAACCATTAATACAACTTAACCTGAGCTCCACTGATTCCAGGGCGAGCAGCAGCTTTGGTGAGAGACACAACTACCAGCCATGATCCTATAGGTCTCCACTGATGGATTCAGCTCCTCTCCTGTTCTCCTCATCACGGCAGAAGGATGAAACAGTTCCAAGTGCATTTAATGCCAGACTAGCAATCTCTCTTGGTGTAAAATTATTGTGATAATAGTGAATTAATAGGTGCCAATTAGGAGACAGTAGTATATTTAATGGAGATATACACCTACATTAAAATACCAATTTCTGCCACTTATTAATTTTGTGATCATGAGCAAGTTATCTAACATCTTTTGACCTTTATTTTCTCATCTGTACAATGAGGACAGTAAAGGCCATCTCACAGGACTGTTGTAAGGATTAAATCAGATAATGGACAAAAACTGCCCTGCACAGTGCCTAGCACAGAGTGGAAGCTCAAGATCTTTCATGCCTTCCCCTCTATCTAATAAGGCAGACAGTAGCCATCTCTACATGGACATACTCCTGTTAGCCACTATGTCACTGACTAGGTTTGAAGTAACCCATTTGACATGCCTTTAGAAAGACCCTATATTTTGAATGCCTTACTAATTCAAGCCAATCTTTTCATTTGGCAAGGTTTTCCTGAATTCATCACCAATTCTTTAAGAACATAAGTGTTTTTGTGTGTTTTTATTCAATTTCAGCAAATCAAGCATGTTTTAGAAAACGCCAGCCCTTATCTTTCCTGACCTCTGCAGGAGGGCAAACCATCCTCCCGATTTGATCAATAGGAGCTATTATCTTTGCAGCTTCACTGATGATTGACTTTTTGGCACTGATTCTGCAAACCATAAGGTTTTGGTATTTAAGCCTGAACAGTGGGAGTGTTATTTGGAGAGAAGGAAAAGAATAAGCCTTGAATCCTCCTCATTGATAAAAGCCTGTGCTCTCTGAAGGATTACTGGTTCATCTCAGCAGTTGGCAGGTAGAGACCCAACACTCACAGGATGTGGAAGCTCTTCTAAGAAGCACCCAGCCATGCCACATCCTGTATCCTCATCTGGCAATACATGAAGTTACACAGGCAAAAACCAGCATACTCACGAGGTCAGGGGCCAGCCCAGTGGTCTCAAAGGCCAAGTATAAGGGAACAACCCCAGTGCCTTTCTTGACCAGGGTCACTGAGTCCTTCAGTGTTACATCTGGATGGGCCTTAGCGGCCCAGGACTTATGTATCAAACTAGGTTCTTTGTATCCTCAAGATTGTGTGGATGTATCATTATGAGAGGCACAAGAGGATTTGCAGGTAGACACGACAAGAGGACAAGACTCTAGGCCCTCCTTCAATAACTTACATTTCTATTTTACATATTCAGGTGCTGTGGGAAAGGCTCTGATGCTTTAAACCAAAAAAATTTAAGCTTCTTATGTGATATAATCTTTTCATTTACAGATGAAGAACATGTGTCCCACAATAGTCAAGTTACTTGGTCAAAATCACCATTCTAAGATAAAGCTAGACTGTAGAAATCACTTAAAAGTAAGTGTATGCTGCCTTCTCGCTGAGCCCCATTTCCTTCTGTCTGTACCCCTAGGATGTGATATGTAGCCTTAGAGGCTGAGTTCAGAGAGACACACAGAGAATTTCCAAACAGCCAGTGTCAGTTCCACAAAAGGGGTACACTTTCTTCTGTGGTTAAAGAAAGGTCTCTGTCTGGGATCATCTGGTGGAAGGGGAGGAGGCGGGGGCGCTGACAGCTTTGAGCTCTCTGGCTGGCAGTGCTACATTAGGCAGCATCCGGTGAAGGCTCTCCATCTTGGTCCCTTCCTCTCTTCAGTGCCTCTGTGAAGGAGAAGCCCACAGCCAGCGGTCTCCTTCTTCATGACAATCCCTGGTTGGGAAAGGAACTCTGCTCTCCTCAGCACAAGGGCAGGCAGGCGACATTCCCCAACAGCACGAGGATTTAGTCAGCCTGGGCACTGCTCTAGCCCTTGGTTCATAGCCACCCCACATCTAGAGTCTTGAATGAGGGGCCCCTTTACGCTGGGAAGTCTCCCTCACCCCATGGGGATAGTCAGGAGTGGAGAACTGCTATGCACAGTGTCTCTGAGGACCTCATAATCCTCAGTGACCTCAAATTTGGATTTCGATGTAATCTTTAAATGAAGTTATCAGTATAGTCACAGAGAAAGAAAAGGGCACAACCCCATTTCAAGGGCTCAGTAGATACATGTGGCTCTCGTGCTGATGGCACAGGTACAGAACATTTCTTTTACTGCAGAAAGTGCTACTGGACAGCACTAGGGAGTAGGGAGCACAAACTTTTTCTGTGAAGAGTCAGAAAGTGAACATTTTAGTCTTCATGGGCCAAACAAATGGTCTCTGTCACACCTACTCAACATTGCCTGGGAAGTGTGAAAACAGCTACAGACAATATGTAAATGAATTGGTATG